CCGTTTTGCGTTGACATCCCAGAATTCGACGAAGAGCAAGTTGACGGACCATTGTAGGATGGTCCACCGGTGTTTGATGAAGAAACCGAGGAGGTGAAGGAGCGTCTTACCGGTGAAGTGAACAGTCTCTACGACGGTCCGCTGATTTTCGATAAGGAGCTTTCGGGCCCGGAGGAATTCAATCATGTTTCGGGCATCAAAATTCAGCTATTGGAAAAATTTGGTGTCAATTGGTAGTTATTCTATTGTGCAGGCCCGAGCTTTTCTCCTACGTGAATTTGTTGCGACCTTGCAAACAGATGTTGTGTTTTGGTTCCCACGGTGACTTCAAAATTATGTGTGTGCATGCTTCATATATGTGTTTCCATGACTTTCAAGGGGGTAATACCATGGGAGTGAGGCATTCAACCTCCGTGTTCGACCGAGGGAAATGACGGGAGTTACTACCATGGTTCGACACCATACGCCGGGCACGGGTGCGCATCAGCTTCGAGGGCGAAGCCTTCCAAACCGGGGGAGAATGGTGTAGATTATTATTATTATTATTATTATTATTATTATTATTATTATTATTATTATTATTATTATTATTATTATTATTGTTGTTGTTATTATTATTATTATTAATTTTATTATTATTATTATTATTATTATTATTATTTAATGGCTTGGTGGACAAGTTAATGTTTAAGGTTAGGTGCCTTATATAAAGGACTTCCTCTAGTTTATTTTGTTTGGTTGTTTATGAATAAAGTATGAATTATATCATGCTTTGATGTTCTTGAGATTGAGATGTCATTAATATCGTCTCACTCGTACGCTTCCCCTACATCAAAAAGATAAAAGTCTAAATGTAAATGAATTACTCCAAACCAACACTATTTATATACATATGACCATGGAGCACCAGAAATTGACAGGTAACAAAACAGATATAACTCCTAAAACTCTACATTTATATATAAGGAGGGATGGAGGGATATATAATTTATATGCGACATTTTTTCCTTTTACAATTGAAAATTTCCACAATCATTGAACCAATTTTTCATTATTTTACTGACTCGTACTTTCAGTATTCACAACACTAACC